TCTAAACACATCTGAACCGCTGTTTAGATACGCGAAATGTCGTGAAGTGCCATTACTACGGTTATATTTATCTAAACGTGATGTCAGTCCGAGCTTTGGTGTTGTTATGCTGGAGATAAACGCATCACGTACGGTTCAATGAACGCCGGGATCACTGGAATTGTTTAAGAAAGGCTTAGTAATACGGATTGAGCGCCTGATACAGTAGCGTGCCTTAATTACTTTCTTTAGCGGTATTATTTGCGTTCATAAATGTCTATCGATTGATTAAATTCAAAGATAGCTCGAAAGGCAATTCTAGAAAAGTACATTCCCAAAGCCGGCAGGTTAATGGGCAGAGGGTACGCTTTATTTGGGATATTGTTTGGGTGCGGCTACGCCTAGCGTGTTATTGACCGGAGCCACTATATGACTGGCTAAAAAAACTGGCTAGAAACCCAGAATAAACGTAAATTTGGATTAGCGAATATTCGTATTGATCGTTGAGTTCTAGATTAGATGAATTAATAAATCACTCGTAGCAAAGGAAGAATTATTTTAGATTATTACTTTATTTATTCACCTTCTTTAATTCGAATTATGTATTTTTTTAAGCAAAAAATATACGAGCATGTCACTCCATTGCTAATGTCCGCATTATAAAGTGTTTTATAAGGAGGCGACTTTTAGGCTCCTTTCTATGCCAAAAGGTTTTCGACTTTAAATGCTTATGAAGCGGCAAGGTAAGCTCATCTTTCTGAACGTGTTGCTATGATGACCACTGCCGCGCAGCCGTCGCTAACTAAAATTTAAGCAGTGGAAAGGCGTAACTATGACATGTTCTTACCACGCTGTTTCGTAAGTCTGTTAAAGAAATAAACCGGTAAGTGTAGCGAGACCCACAAACTAGGTAGCTAACAACAAATAAAGAGAAACATCATTTTTTGTACATCATATCAAGGGTGTTGTGGGTCTGCTCTTCGCGGGTTCCGGTAAGGGGCCCAAGTTGGGCCAGTTGTACTGTGGGCCTCTTCCCGGATAGCTTCCATAGTTATACCTATTGTTTCGGATCCGGAAGGAATTTACAGGGAGCAGAGGCTGAGAATTAGCCGCAAATTAAAAACCTTCACTTATTTAGGGTAATCATATCACATCAGCAGCTACTATCCCTGTTTATTGTAATCATTTTTCAAATCCTTTGTTACTGCCTATCAAAATTTAAACCAGCGTAGCCGATATATTTGTTTTTCATGGCTGATTCGGTAACACTCTATAGTGCTCATTAGCCACCTAACCCATGTCGCTCCGACACGAAGTGTGAAATGTTATTCCTAAGAAAACAGGTTATTTTGTTGTTTTTTTTTTCGCGTAAATAGCACCGTTGATCATCAAGGAAAAAAAAAAAAGAAACATCTAGCATCTATTTCTCGTTTGTACCTCTATGTATCATTTTAACGTAGAATGATTAGTTCTATTACTGTCCATTCTAATTCCAGATAATCGTATCATGTTTAATTGGCTATACTCATCACATGTACTTGTTTTGAACTATTTAGTAGTCACTGTGTAGCGTTATCCACCCCAACAAGTCTACCCCTTCTAGTATGATTCCTTATTTATAAATAGAATTTATGCTCAACGTATTTGAATCTTACTTCTATATGTTGCAGAGGGCAGTATGCGCTGGCGATCTACTTGCTGTCTTTACAGTATCCAATGATAGGCTACCCGCATCTGTTGGCTTCCAAGCGTTTCTGTTTATTGATATTGTAAGCTGTTCGTGAGTAAACAAAGTCGTCAGCATCTAACCACAAGTTATAAAAAATCGTACTAAATTTTGTATTGCTAGTGGCAAGGAAAGTATCGTTTTCGGCAGCTCTGTCCATGTGGTCGTGAGGCTAGTTTTCGATATACGCCGATCCGACGTCGGGCAACGGGCGATCCGATCTAGGCATGTCTGTTAGGCCTGCACTAACGCCCCACTTGAGCCACGAAGGGGAGATCAGAGTAGTTTTAGAATGAGATGCTTTGGAATTTAGTGCTTCGAATTTGTGGCAGTGTTTGCCTAAACATTAAATATAATATCTGTTCTGTAGCTGAATAGGATGTACCCAAAGCATCGCCAAAGAAACATAAATAAATAACACGAGTTCGTTCCTTTTTCCTATGTGAGCGTGACAGGATATATAGTCCAATGGTGATGTAATCAACGCGCTAATATAATATCCCTTGCGGAAACCCACGAACGCGTCTAGTCAAATGTAAATCGACCTTCTCGTCCTAGCTAAACGGTTAAACGGACCAATTAGCAAAGGACACTACATGGTACAATGCAACGACGCAAACGAACGAATTGATATCATAACGGCTATATTTTGTGGCAATCATAAGCATATTGCTAGTAGAATACTAGCGGGCCTTCGAAAAAGCTTTGTCAGGGATACGAAGAATGAAATATTGTTTAGATTTATAATCGATGATAATAACGAAAAATTCGTTGCAAACAGATAGAAGTGGCATTTTAGCAGGCGCTATTGCTACCGCCTCACATTTACTTTGAGGACCATCCCTTGTCGTTAGGAAGCAGCACGATGTTCATACGGCAATCAGCCTTGCTGGACCATTTCCAGACGAACATGTCTTTCGGTCGCAAAAATGTACCTAGGTTCATATAGGAACGAAGCATGAATTTCATTTCACGCTAGTATTTTCCACGCATGTATGCATGGGCAAGGTAAGAACTGCAAAGACCAAGCGTCTACGTCTGACCCAATTCGAGTTTTTATTGACTGATATGGCAATCAGCATTATTTCGAACCAATTGAGGCCTTCGCAGTCCGCGGCCAAATAGGCCTGAATGGCACGAAATAAATTTCCACCTAGCCTTTTTTCTTTTTCGAACGTCTAGCTTATTCAGTGATTTCGAGTAAGAGTTGTGGACTAGATTAGAAATTTGAATACGAACCCAACGTATCGCTTTATATAGAGCAGACCTCAGCTGACTTGACTATAAACTTAAATTAGATATCATGAAATGGGCTGTACTACTCTATGGGAAATGTAAAGCCCATTTGACGATATTTACCCATAGCAGATAAACTAATTCAATGACAACTATTTTCATTGGCCCTATATACTAGGAACTTTAGCAGTTTTACTGTAGCAAATTTGATGGCAAGGAGTTTCCTTATTTTTCCAGTTAGTTTGGAAACTCTTCACGCAAGCCAAAAAGTTCTAATCCGAGTCTCGTGGTCCAATCGGTTTTTTGATCTAGCCGGGGGGTCGTCGCATCTGATGATTTCATAGAATTTCGACTCGTCAGCCCGTTGCGGGTAAGCTTTTCGACTTTGCCACTTGCGACTAATTTAATTGATTTACCTGAGTCAAACAAATCGCTTCCAATTGTGTTTTTCATACTTGCACTATCCACGCATCCATGCGTCTGTTTAAGTGCTTGCCTGTCACAGGAACCCAGTTTTGTAGAAAACTTCTACTATTTCTAGAAACTCTACCATTCCACAGGGCCGCAGTTGTGTGCACTAGATTAGATATTAAACTTACCATTCGGTACCGTTCTAACGTTATAAGAAAACGTCTAAGCCTTCTTGTTGCAGCTGATTTGGACATTTGCTAAAAAGATCCGATGAAAATCAAAGCTGATCTATGTAAGAGCTAATTTTTATTTCCATTAATAAAGGTCTATGTTATAATCTTATTATAGTTCACCCTAATTTACCAGCATTCGTTAAACGTCCCTACATGGCTACATCATGTATCTTTAATGTCTTAAATGTTGAAACAGTTTTGCCAGCTCATTTTTTTCCAGAAGTCATCAGTGTTCATTATTACGTTTGATTCTTATAATGTGTACATATATAATATAACACTCGCGGGTACAACTGGGACCAATTCAGCCGCTTTGATACCCAAAGGTAACCCTTAGCCTGAGCAATCGTCATAATTTTTTATTAGGCTATTATTATCAGCACCAGTGGTCATACTTCCAAAGCCGGACAATAAGCTTTTATTTTTTACGGCAGCAATTACTAACTCAACAGTAAGGATCATTCGTCTTCGATTGCTACCACTCATTTATGAATGATGACGCTATTACATAGAAGAACTTTAAAAATCATGTCCTTTGCACAGCTGGCTCTACTTCTTCGGGCATAGTATTAGCGTTGCTTGCGGATTGGTCGTGTTATTAAAAACGTGAAGCTGTAGAGGATTCAGTATCATTTACATTGTCTGCAAAAGGTCTTAAAATTCCTCTATCACTTCGATTTTTCGACTTTTTTTTTGATCGGAAGCTTCTTCAAGAGAAAAAAATATTTGTTATAGACACGTAACTGTTAGAACTGAATCCCCTTAAATAGGTAGTTATATATCTTCTCCACTTTCACGTTCTCTTTGAGTTTCATCATGGTGCAGGCCCTGAATGGCGAGGAGCCGCTCATATTTATCCAATAAAATACGCTAACACCAGCGAACTTTACGAATGAATATAAAGCTGGAAAATATTTTTTCGGAAGATTTTTTAGCCATTTAGTCTAACGTATAGCTCATTAAAGCTTTAAATTTATGGTGTAAAGTAATAGTAAAATCAGCGAAGGATATGGGCAAATATTAGGCAGAGCATTATTCCAGTGGCTAGCAGCCTCTATTTCGACAAATCAACTTCTATGAAAAATAATATATTTAGATTAATTTCTGCATTGATAATATTCACAGCAAAGCCGGTAAGTATGCTTTATATAGCTTTTGAGGAACAACTTTTTCCTTCCTATTTGAACGCTAAAGAGTCCATAGATACTTTATATGAACGAAAGTTTTAAAGAAGTAGCTGTTTCATCAGTAACGTTAGGAAAATTTAGTTTCACTGTAAACTAATGAATTAAAAAATGTTTCGTCACCAGGAAAACATTGAACAGAGTCAACTAGAGAAACTCGTTCCATATTTTTAGGCATATCCTATTGTAATCCAAATTTCTGTCATATTTTTCTCCATATATACCACTCACCTCCGGAATAGAAAGCTACACAGAAAACAAATGCTGGCCACATCTTCGCTCTCACAATGAGAACGGGCGGGTGAATAGAGCACCCCCTTTTCTTCACACTTTTCTTATGTTCTGGACGCTCTTCACACGGAAGCACGTACTAGCACAGAGGACTTCGATCACTCCATAGTGAGGGACTTACCAGTATAGTTAGTCCACCGTTTCACGGCACTTATTCTGTGAGCCACTACGATCACGTAGTACGAATGCTACTCGAATAGCAGTGGCTGCATTAAGTTTTTTTCTTTTTGCACTGCAGCTGCCACTTCACTGGCCTCCCTCTGTTAGCCTCACGTAATTCCCACAGTTGTTGAAGTGGGCAAAACGGCCAACTTTGCATATAGAACTAACAAGAGCCTATTTTGCTGCACTATGTCCTTTCTTTACTTTCGTTCGCGTAGTTACTTTTACAATGAGCGTACTTCTTGAGTAACTAACTTTGCTTCTTTGCTAACTAGCGTTCCATGTACAAGACATTTCAGCCATGAGCGCATTCATACCCGTACGCTGCACTCGAACCTGTGGAGAGCACAAGGCTGCAAGCTCTCAACAAACGAATTCAACTACTCTGACGCTATTGCGGATCCACTTTGTCCGTGAAATGTTCTCCCCGGACTTCGCGGAAAACGACACACCAATAAACTCCACGAGTTATAAACGCTACAATTGGACACTGTACACAGGAAGAGCTGGAACAACGGCAAACAGCGTTTTTCTACTTAGTGCTACCGCGCGAGACGACTATTTAGAGGTGAGCTCTTTTTACAGCGTTATGCCCCATTTCTCTTGCAGCGCTCTCGCTTAAACTTTCTTTTATTTTTTCGCACTTTGTCCTGTTAGTGCGAGCCCGCTTTACCGAGGTCACAACGACTGCTCTTATTGCACGCACACATGCACACACATACACTGTATCGTATACAACACGAATAAGTACACATGAGAATCGAGTACACCTCTGTTTTCCGCTGGTCATGCGCGTACGCACAAAATTTTTCGATGGTAAATACTAGCGAACCTAGATCCTGGTATCAGTAAAAGCGGTAGCAACAGCAGCAGTAACCTCAGGAGCAGAACCCATCACGAACGCTGTATACGGCGTTATTAAGCGCGCAGTGGAGCCAAACGCAGTCAGCCGTTCCTTTACGTCTCTCCGTCACTACGCCTGCTGTTTCAATGCGGCTCTGCAACTTGTGGAGTGCGGGGCCCGCAGTGACGTCCGCGGCGCCCTCGTACGACTGTTGTTACAACTACGCCCGTTCTCGACCCCCACCCCAGCCCAATTCGCTTCTTCAGCGTTTTCCCTGGCTGTCTCAGCTGACTTCCCCTCTCCCGAATTTTGATGTTGAGGATTATCACCCTTTCTTTTATTGGAAAAGCAGGACTGCGGCTTCAATGACATAGGCAAGCAATGGCGGCCCGCTGTAGCGTCAGCAAGGCAAGCGTATACGTCTGTTTCTACTTGTTTGTACTATGCAGTACGACCTTTACGTTCGGAGTTTTATGTCTGGTATCACCGCTCGGTGTTCCATGAGATAATTGGCTCCCAGCACGAAACGAAGTGTGCCTATTCCTAGGTTTGAACATAGATCATAATGTGTCCCTAAGATTTGCAGACAAATACGTTACCCATACCTAATATTCTCGTCCATTACCACCAGTGGGGAGGTCTTTTTTTCTCGTTTTATTCTCCCGATCTGTGAGATACCGGCAAATCCGGTGTGCTTTCCGATAATCTTAGTTTATCTGATCTTGCATTTAACCTTCCGCCAAATGCTTGCTGCCGATGGAGGAAGAAAAGAAAGAAACCAGGAAGAAAACGTTTACTCTACTGCCCGCAATGCCCGTTTCTTAGCTCTCTATAGTCCCATTACTCTCCGTACTACCGTTTTTTGTCAGCCCCTTACCAGTCTCGCCTGTTAGGTCCTGTCCGTTAATTACCTGGTGTCAACAAAGTACACTACACCCGAACTGCTATATAACCCATACACTCATGCATCCAGCGGCCCACACGTTCATGTGTTGATGCCTTATTGCTGTCATTGAGCAAGATTTTCCCAAATTCAATGTTGTTACTAATTATCTTATCTTTGTTATTGTTGCCGAGCTAAAAACATTGAATGGATTCTGCGAGCAAAACCTATGATCGTGCCTATGATCTTTTCATTAGAAGGCCGGGAGGCGGGGAAGAGCAGGCCGTGAGGGGAACGTAGGAGAACGAAACTTAAGGTTCGTAGTAGCCCAGAAGAAAAGCAGATATCGGGCGTGTGAAAACGACAGCTGGCTCCCTAGTGGATAAAAAGATCAGTAGTGGAAATGCAGACAAAGATGCACCTCTATTCTTTTTCATGTATATAGTGTGAAGGTATCAAAAATTGTGTCATCTAGAGGAAAAGTGGGAAACGGGCAAGGTATTAGGGAAGAGGAGATGGAAGACACTCGTAGCGGTTAAAGGACGATAGAGGGATACACCTACATCAGCCGTAAAGGATAAAATCATGCATGGGTAACGGCCTCGTGGTAGTACAGTAGTTCGAAGTGGTTGAAGGCTCCGCAAAAGGCATAGTCGTTAGTGCCTGTCACAGCAGCTACATTGTATAAGCTACAGCTATAACTAACAGTTAAAGCAAGGGGATAGGCACTTTCAAAGATAAGTGGGGACGGAAATTAACACTATAATATTTTTCCGGCGAATGTACAGGAACCCCAGGAGCAGCCCAGTGCAGTCCAAACAGATCAGCGTCACCCGGAGGGCGGATTTTATGCGCTATCTTCACTTGGCTAGTTTCAAGGCTCATCATTTGTGCTACTTCTCGCTTATAATAGAAAATATTGTATCTAATTGAGGAAAACACTAAACGTGTCTATCTAGAATAAAATGCTTGATTGATGTGTGGCTGTTCGAAACTAGTTTTCTCTTCCTTGCAAATATAGGTAATTTATTCTAGCTTCCAGTTTTTTTTTGCTGGGAAATGAGACTTCCTAAAACGAAACGGTTCTCTATAATAAACTTTGAGAGGCAGTATTTTCTTTGAAAAGAAGGCTGTTTCAGAGACTGAACCTTTGTCTTATAAACATTCTTTCCATTTGGGCAACGTTGAACAGTTGGACTTATAAAGATACCTGTATTTTTTTTTCATAATACTTATATATTACATATAGTAATTGCTCACTTTTTTGTTGTTTGTGAGTTTTAAACTGCCTTCTATCGTAATACTAGTAGAAGGTATGAGTTGATGCTTCGACGACACTACTATCATTTGCTGGAGAAGTCACTGGTTATACGCACGTTACGATAAAAGAAGCTTTGAAACTTTATTAGTACAATATTTTGTTCACGTAGCGAAACCACCCGTCGAAATAACGTGATAATCGTCGTGCGTGTTTTTTTCTGTGCAGGTTCACTTGGCTATACAGGCCATTTTGCATCCATCATCAGTACCCAGTGCGCGATTTTTTTATGCAGTTTGTGTTATTATATTACGACACGATCTTTACCTTTGTATGATTATCATGATATTAATTTCCGGAAAAGGCGTTTCTTCGCCCAGTGAAAGCGGGTGGCTGGGTAATGAAATTCGGTTATGCCATAAACTGTTTTCCGTGTTTCGGTTCTGGTATATGAGCCGTTAAACATTTTTTAGACAGCTGGCTCCCTTGGATTCAAACCCAGACTACCATGGGTTCCAACTTAACAGGGGACACGTTACCCAGTTTTCTATCATGGTAACGTAGGAAGGCTTTAGCCGAGAGACTCTAAACAGCTACGACCGTTTCGTTCTCGTCACCAGGTCGAGTAGTGGAAAGGGCAGCAGATGAACGGGGTTAGACTAAAACTTTTTGCATGCACGTATTTTTATCTGCTTCACTTAAACAGCTCACAGGTAGAATAGTCGATTTGAACTGACTTTTTATGTTTTGTTCCTTCGAGCACTATGATCGGACTTTCAAAAAAAATCCCACCTGAGGGGGAAACTGGAGATTTGCATAAAAGCAGCTACAAATTGGTGCAGTATATCGATACGGAAATTGATGAACAGATAGATTGCAACGGGAATTTGAAGAGGAAATATGGTTTATCTACAATAAGGGAAACAAGGGACCTGCATTCTAGCTAAATCTTGTATTAGGTATGGTCTATGTTATGTAAGCGGAAATTCTACAAAACCAATAGAGTTTATTTCAGTTTATACTGGAGATTATTTTTGAAACAAAATAAATTATTTTTATAGGTAAATACCTCTTTACTATGTTGCATTTGGCAAAGGATTAATACCTATTAGAACAGGCTTATGAGGTCACTGTAACGAGAATGTAGGTTAGGTTAACATTCTAATGGAAAAAAAACACGAGATGACTGCGTCAGAGTAACTGTAACAAAGTTCTAGGCTATCTTAATTGTACCAAATCATCGCAGTAGGGCACCAAAATACTGGGTTAGGTATTGTAACGGCCACATTTTATTAGAGCATAACCGAATTGTTAGAACACGCAAGTGAGAGAACGCAGTAATTACAAAAGTGTAATGGGACAGATGAAAACGGGTAAGTGACACGATATAACTGTGTGTGTATTCGAAATAGTCTACGTACCATTGGGGATAATATCAATGAATACGACTAGTTAGGGTAAAATAGATACTGGACAAAACCTGCGTTTCGGTCTTGTAAGTATTATACAATCGTTCTATTGAAACAACGACGCCACCGCATGGTACTCGATTATATGTAACTTTCGAAGCAGAAGCTCGCCCGCTTAAGCCATCGATACCTTGAGATAACTGCGATATACTTTCGCACAAGATAATCATACACATGCTAAAAAAGGGCAAAAAAGTCTCTGCGCGACGTTTCATTAACATTATAAACCAAATAACATACAGTTTTGCCATTATTGCTCGTTAAATGAGAAATAAACTGAAAGCAGTTTCAATATTCTCAAGCACACTGATCCTCCAGTATTTGAGTTTCGTGGCCGCTCGCCACGTCACACTTCGTCAATATTCCTCTTAAAATGCCAGAATATGATTGCTTAACTTAGCGATTTTCTTTGTTCAAAGTTTTTGTCAGCCCAAACTACCCAAGTGACATACAATAAAGAGGAAGTCGAATCAGGTGAAAAGGAGGTCTAGGGGGTAACTTCCAGGTTAATTATTGCGCTTACTAGATGTATCTGTACTTCTGCCCATGTATGAGGCTTTTTTTTTTTAACTTTTTTCTGAATGCCAACTGAAAGGCCGACTGGATGATATTGTGGTCGCTAAAACGGTTCAAGATAGCAGAAAAGATACTGTTATTGTTACAGATTATCACAAAGGAAATCACTACAGGGTGTCAACTGTTTTCACAAATGGCGCAACCGGCATGTAGGATGCTGAGTCCCTCCAAGAGGCTTTCTTTTGTAGTAGCATTAACAACCTGATTCAACTTTTGTGGTCACTTTTCAGACTATGGCGCATGTGTGATGGTACATTAAGTGGAGACCTTGACATAGTGTTACGAAAAATATCCATGATCCTAACTTCAGCTCACAAGATGAGGTTCAACTTCATAAAATGCAAAGTTCTTATACGCAATGCCCGCCCAGGAAGTTGCACAAGCGGGTCAGATCATTTCTGCAGAATCGCTACATTACCATCGGCTTCATGTTGACTTTAGGAAGAAGGCCCCCGACCAAAGAGGGTTTATCTTTTTTTAACGTCTACACATAGCTTTTGGGAGCTTATTTTTACGAAGCACATTCTCAGCTCTGAAGACCCAACACCCAACACCCAACACGTTATGGCTAAAGGACGTTTTTCAATCTTTTTAAGCTAACCGCTTCCATCACTGCAGGCTCGCAAACTGTAATACACCCTACTGATTTTATCCACGACAACAACCATGTAGCAGACGGCGGTTCAACATGTATAATGAGGGAGCGGAACTGGCAGCTTAATAAGCCAATTTTCATATATATATATATATAAGATATAAAAAATATATATAAAAAATAAAAATAAATAAATAAAAATAAAATAAATCAAAATTCTTCCAAACGGCACTAACGTTAATTTTATCGTTGCAGTTGAGCAACTGAAAGGTAACATTATTAAGCGTAAACGGAGGCTACACAACATAGTCTGTTTGACCAAAAATACCCTTAATAATATAAAATACACAGCCAATGAGGCATCCGTCAGCGGTTGGCATCGATTAATCAAAGCGACAAACCCAACATTTTCTTCAACCGGCTCGTCTAATCGGTCCTAAAACAGCTTTCAGCTATTAAAAGTATGATCACTTGCGTATCCAGGGATTTTATTTGTACTTATTGTTACTATATCAATAATTTATAGTAACGAAAGGGTAGAAAAATGTTTCTTACCGATGAGACATTTGTGAACTTTTTCCGAGCCTTTCGGGTTTAATTAATCGTGAAGTCACAAAGACAACTGAACGAAGACTTGTCCCCACGAGCGCATCAGAAGCAGCCCTTCCATCAACGACCACATTTGTATCGTAATATAAAGAGGCACATCGCGGACTTCCCCGCAAGAGTATCGATTTCTGTTCGGCATACACGGATTCAAAGTCCTACATCCACGGTAAACGAAGTCCTCCTGACGCTACATAAACTGTGCGCGATGTCTCTGAGGTTTCTGATCTGATCAAACTGTGGATTTCATAACCCGTTTCTGTTAGTGTTCATGTAATTTTGCATTGAAACTACTAATGGTAAGTTTTCTAAGTTCGTTTTGTATAGAGCGGAAATCTCATACTATTGCTAAAAGACGGAACGACCAGATATATTGCTACGAGATGTACTTTACACAACTTTATGGACTAAATAAGCATCCTCCGAACGTCAATGTTTTACAGCGTAGCGACGCGGGATTCCTACGAACTCACGACAAAATAGATTTAATACCACCTTTAATGGCTCAATATACATTCGGTGTTGTTCTTTTTAAGATATAGCCTGTGAACGCGACGCCTCTATTACCTTCTCCGTTTACCTCATTACATCGGTTCGGCATCATGCAGCATGCGGTACCCAGGAAGCCCACAGGCCACAGTTAGGCTTTAATGAAATATGCCTTGTAGCGATAGGGAATTCGACATTCCAACTGTCTGGCTTGAACAAACCAATCACAAAAAAAGGTAGCGGACCGTTAGTGAAGAGTTTTTCGCCGGGTCTAATTCAATGACACTGGGCTCAGGCTGTGTCGGACGCCACCATTCTACCTAGCGTAAACATAAATCAGACCATACAGCCGGGAACTTGGTCACGCCGTTAGATCGGCAGAGAAGAAAAAACTACGTACAAACTGAAAAGATCTCTCCAAGACCTACGATATGTCCACCATATGGTCAGTACCAACTGGGATATCATGCGTTAATATAAAAGAATACTTAGAGAAATTCTGGTTAATAATCGTAGCATTTAGGTATATATAGATTATATATGGCCTAAGAGTAAACATATTAATTGCAGATAATTTCTATTTTTACTAAATAAGGGGTATTGCATGGTATGAAGGGCTTTTATTACAAACAATTAATAAGTTTAATTCCTCGACTATGTCTGCAGTTTCCAAATCGGCACCTCCTGCTAGGTTCTTTGAGTTATGAGCGTCTTTTATTTCTATGTTATTTGTTTGTGTTGCGTCAAAACTTTATTGCTGTGGCCTATACCTCGACGTGCAAGCGACCTTACGCTCGCATAACTTTAGCATTCATTAACACAAAACTTCTCAACCCTTTAATTAAATCAAGTGTGTTGAAACATACTAAACGGTAGATA